TCCCTTTCGAGTCTTACGAGGGTATGGTTTCCACGTCCCTGAAACTTCGGTACTGACAAGGTTCGAAATGCTGATTACAACTGTGGTAACTAAACATGCTACGTGTATTTACAAGCAAGTTATGAACGACCGAAGTTTGCACTGATGCAGAGCTCTGGTGGTACACAAGCAAAACCTGTCACCTCAGTTTGACTCGAAATTTGTCCCCATGGGTATTTTGACTCCCTAACGCGAGTGTCATATCAGTTTAGCCTGAAAATTGCCTGGTAACTACGATACAAGCGCCCGGTGGACAAGTTTTCAACAAATTCAGGCAACATTGACCACTTATAATCGCTTGGAAGATACAAGTAGCAATTGTGATTTCCATGTTTGTGACTAGCATCCCACACTCCATCGATTTGCTTAGGTCCGTAATCAAAGTTCCTTGGAAAAATGGAACCGGTTAAGACTAGGTCTACATATTCTGCTTCCTTCATTTCAGGCAGTACCTTGATGGAGAGGAACCCTTCTTTGTATTGAATTCAGACGTCATTTGTGAATTTCCATTCCAAGAAATGATTGACTTCCATCTGTCGCATGGGTGTGAAGGCACTATTGCTGTTACTCAAGTATGTTGTCTTTCGGAATTTCGGCCATGAAGAGCCGCAGATGGCGAATGAAGTCTCTGCAGTAAACCTTGCACTGTTTTTTTCACTCCTTACGCTATTTCTGAATTAAAACATAATCTTTGGCTTTTCTAGGTCGAGGAACCTTCAAAATACGGTGTAGTGGTCTTTGATGAACACAATGGCATGATAGCTGAATTCGTGGAAAAGCCTCAGGAATACGTAGGCAACAAAATCAACGCCGGCCTCTATATATTTAGCCCTTCCATTCTTGACAGAATTTCTCTTCGTCCAACCAGTATCGAGAAAGAGGTAGTTCCAGGATACTTTTTTGAAAGCTAAATGCTAAATGCAATCTTCTAAATCTTTAGATTATTTAGATCTTTCCGAAAATGGCTGAGGCTTGTACTCTATTCGCTTTTGTTCTCTCCGGTTTCTGGATGGACGTTGGACAACCGAAGGATTTCCTCAAAGGTTGGCTAAATTCTTAGCGTT